CCGTCGGGCCCCGCCCCTCGGGGCTGGGGGTTGGCACTGTAGGGGTGGGGGGGAGGGTGGGGGGAGGTTGGGGATGGGGTGAGGTAGGAGCGGGGTGACTGGAGTAACCACCTCTGACCCCGGGCTGAGCCCTACCTGCTACCAAGGGAGCGCCAGGGTTAGGAGCTACCTGTTATTAGCCCATTTTGCAGATGAGACGAACTGAGGCCTGATCAGGGTAACAGGTGGCAGGCCGACTGTCGAAGCAGTTAGCCCCGAGCCGGTCCGCTGTTTGAGCCCGAAGGCGTTGGTCTCCTTTCCTTCACATCATATTGAAATGGACGCTCCATCGGGGCAGGAACTGGGCGATCCTCCAGTTCACTACTGTGCCCACCGTGCCCAGAGCGCAGTGGGCATGGAGAAAATTATTTGAATGAATCACTCTCATCTGTCCCTTCCCTAACTCTCTAACCTCAACTTGAGTCACCCTCCCCCTACTCCCCAAAGATCTTAAGAAATAATTGGGAGAAGGCCAGACGGAAGTGAGTGATACCACATGGAAAAGAGCCCCCAGCCTGCAAATCACGGGTACAGGGGAAATGCTCCAATTTATGGGACAAAGTAAGAGAGGAGACCAGCTAGGAAGCTTCAGTGGAATCTGGAGGACGGATGATGGTGGTCTGGATTTAAGGGGTGGCAGTAGTAATAGAAGTGGAAATATTTGAGGGAGGTTTTGAAGAAGCAAAGGGATTTGCTGATGGATTGAAAGTGAGGGGTGGAGCAGGAGGAAGAGAGAGGAAGTTTCTGAGTAGTTGGTAGCGCCATGCACTGAAACGGGAAGGGAAATAGTTTTGGGGTAAGGGAATAAACTGTTGTTTTGTGGTTTATGATGAAATATCAAGTTGTCTCTATCGACGGATAAGTGCGTCTGGAGATTAGAAGACAAACACATGATGTAAATTTGGAGCATGTAAATGGCATTTATAGCATGAAAGACATAACTCATGGTAAGACGTAAAGAGCAAAGACGCGGGCCCAGGACAGAGCCCTGGAGAACACCAGCCAATACTTAGAATTCAGGTAGAAAAAAAAAAATAGAATTCAGGTAGTAGAGGAAGGTCTTGCAAAGGGGAGAGGATTGGCCAGAGAGGCAGGAGGAAAACCAAGAAGGGCCCAAGAAAGGACGGTATTTCATGAAGGATGGAGTCATCACTTATGCCAAATGCCCCTGAAAGAAGAGAGGCATGGCTGTCCATCAGAGGAGTTGTGTGTGAACTTAATAAAGCAGTTTTGGTGAAGTCTGAGGACAGAGAGAGAAGTCAGGAGAAACACAAGAGGAGGTAGAGTGTGCAGACAATTCCTTCAAGAGATTGTGGGAGGAATAGCACAATGGCAGGGAACAGATGAAGTGGGGTCAAAGGATTTATTTGTATAGTATGGGTAACACAAGAGCAAGTTTTTATTGCTATTGGCAATGATTCAATAGTGAGCGAGAGATCAATAATCCCAGAGAGAGGGACAGTGACTTACGGAGAGAAGCCTCTGAAAAGAGAGGAATATGTGAGGTGGGTGTGTAGGGGTATGGCTCAAACCAGCCAAAAGGCGGACCTTCGCTACAGCATGAGACCCAGGCCCAGGAGGCCCAAGGCAGAAGGAACGGCCACACTCTTCCTGAGGCGGCCACCACTGCTTAGTAACCTGTGTTTAATAAGATGTTTCAACCGAATTCCTAATTAACAGCCATTTCAACTTATGCTAACAGTACCTGTCACTGAGGTCCCCAGCTCTACATCTCTCCCCCGAAGTCTGGTACTTCTGTTCCTTTTGTTGAAACATTATGAAACTAGAAAGCTCAGGTTTCTACTTCGTTATACTGTTGATGACACATGCATTGAGATGTGAAAAATAACACATCGCAAGGAAAATGGATTTAGAGACTCTCATTCCATCTTAAAGAGAGGATGCCAAAAATTGCAAGATTCAGATCTCTAGTCAGGGCTCTCTGAGGAGCTCCGACTGCCGCCTTGCCCTCTCACAGGCATCTCAGACTAAGCAGAACTCTTCCAAGATCAGATGACATCAAGTGCATTCAGGGTTGTATAGCTGTAGACTAAGTAGAATTCTTAATCCTTCTATTCAACCACTCAAACTCATTCATTCCTTGTACAGTTTCTAACCATTACAGAACATAATCTCACCATCTACCCACTTGACATGTTTACCTGGAGTCATTCTGGATTCCTCCCTCTGCCAAACCCACTCCATACAATTAATTACTGCCCCCAACAAATTTCTCAAATTCTTCTACTTTTCTGCATATCCTTTGAGTCTGCCCTGGTCCAAGCCATCACCATTTTCACCTGAATCCTTCATTACAAGAGTTTTCCAACTTGGTCTTCCTGCTGCTTCTCTTAACCCACTTCCAATCCACTCTCCACACAGCGGCCAGAGAGTGACCTAGTAAAACATAATGGAATTAATTCATTCCTCTGCTTAAAACCTTCCTAGGTTTCACATTATATATATAGGAAACCAAACAGAAACAGAAAGAGACTCATAGATACAGAGAACAAACTGATGGTTCCCCAGAAGGGCGGGCGGTGGGAGACAGGGCAAAAAAACAGTGAAGAGGATAGAGAGATACGAACCTCTAGTTACAAATCAAATAAGTCACAAGATTGTAATGTACAGCATAAGGAATACAGTCAATCATATCGTAATAATTTTGTATAGTGAGAGATGGTTACTAGACTTATCCTGGTAATCACTTCATAAGGAATATAAATGTTGAATCACTTTGTTGTACACCTGAAACTAATATAATAATGTATGTCAACTATACTTTTAATTTTTTTTAAGCAACCTATTGTAATCCTTAAAGTTTTATTATCTAGCCCTTTGATCATTAAGCACCTAGCCTATGTTCTTGGCTCTGGAAAATACAGTAGAAAACAAGACAGACTAAGACCCCGCCCTCATGGGACTTACATTCCAATGGTGGGAGATAGGCAATAAACAAGTAAACAAATGAAGAAGATAATTTCATACAGAAACAAGTGCTATCAATGACTATAAAATGAGTGAAGGTATACAGAGTGAGGGGAGGGAACAGCTGCTTTGAATAAGGTCCGCGAGGAGGTGACTTTGAGCTGAAATCTGAAACATAAAGAGCCATCCATGAGAAAAGCCATGGAAAGAATTCCCACACAAATGGCACAGCAGGTGCTAAGGCCCTGAGGCCAACTCAAGCTTGGCAGTCAAGAACAGGAAGAGGAGGGTGGATGGATAAAGCGGAAAGGTGGAGAAGGTGGTACAAGAGGAGGTTGGAGAGAAAGCTGGGGCCAGGTCATTCAGAGTCTTGTAGAGTGTTTAGATTTTATTCAAAGTGCAAAGGGAAGCTGTTAGGGATTTTAAGCAAGAGAATGAGCATGATCCAATTTGATTTTAAAAAATCACCTGTGTGGATTAGAGCAGGCGAAGACTCAAACAAAGAGACAAGTTGAAGAGCTGTTGCAGTGGACTGGTGGCTTGTATCAGGGTGGTAGTGGTGGGCGGACAAGAATATATTTTGGAGGTAGAAGAACCAACAGTATTTGTTGATAGCATGGATATGGGGCTGAAGGTAGAAAAGGTTGAAGAAATTAACGAAGACTTTCACGTCTGTGGTGCCCCTCAAATTTAGAAACATATTTAATATGTAGCCTCCACTTAACACATTTAGATTCTCAACTCAATAGAGCACAGCACAGCATAGGGAGAGAAGTCTGATTTTGGCATCTTAAATTCCAATCCTGTGTGACCTTGGGAAACGTCTAAACCAGAAGAACCACCATTTTCTTGTCTTTCAAAGGAAAATGGTTGCTCCTGGATTAGAGATGTTTGTAAAGCTTCACGACAGCACTCAACAGTGTGTAAGGAGGCTGTGGGAAATCTCAACCGAATGAGGTAGAGAACCTCATATTCGAGGTTTCATTGGGGAGATGGTGATGCAGGGACAGTGTTGCCGAATTTGTATCATAAAGGACATTTATAACATTGGGGATGAGAATATTCCAGTTTCTGCCTAGGCATCATGGCCCAAGAGAACCTGAAATTCCTAATCAGGGAGAACGTGAGGTTGTTCCTGACAGTCGCAGATGCTCAGTAATGGCTTAATAAAGACCGGGGTCTGGGTGAAGGGAAGAGGCTGGCGTCAAGAAAAGAAAAACGCCGCGGGAATCCGGGCAGGACCAGCACCCCGGGATTTCCACTTCGCTACAGCAACGTCCCCTCCACGCACACACCCACGAGAGAACTACAAGTCCCACAAGCACCCGCGGCTTACCCGCCCCCAGGGGAGGAGGGGCACGGGCGAGCGCGGCCCCGGCTTTTCCTCTTTTCTGCAGCGTGATTGGCCCGCGGCTCCGGGAGGCGACCAATGAATACCCTCGGGGGAAGCGGCGAGGCCAATATGGCTTCCCGCACCTGGTGACGGTAGAAGAAACCGTGTTAGGTCTCATGGAGAAGCCCCGGGGCGTTGAGGTGAGCGGGAGAGCGCTTATCGTGTCTAGGAAAGGGATCCCCGAGAACTTTGCTCAGGAAGCCCTTTTAGCGAAGGGCTTTTAGCGAAGCTTTGCAGGTGGAGGGTGGAAGGATGGATAAACTGAGGCTGAGCAGGGCCAAAAGCGATTGGCGTTGCCTTTTGCTCCGATACTGCTGGGGCTGCGTCTGGCGAGTAGTTCAGGGAGAACAGCGTCCCTAGTCGAGGGAAAGGGGAACTGGGTTCGGATGTGAGAGCTTCTGAAACTGCTTTGTCCTCCCTATCTCTTGGTCGTGTTCTTTAGGGATTGTGGCCTGTCACAGCTTGGTGGGACGCGAAGGGATATTAAAGTTTAATAAACACTCGGTTTCTAGAGCGTTCATATGCGTTATCTCCCTGTATACTCACGGCAATTCTGTGTTACGGTTTCGTTGTTACGGTTAAAGTAGCTGAGGCTTAGAAATAAGGTGGTGCGAAGTGAAGGAGGTGGGCACTACGTCCGTCAGGTTCCAAACTTGACCTGTTATGCTTTTCCCACTCTGCTACGACCTGCAACTTATTCACCTTTTAATCATCTGGTTTCTGTTCACTTTGTATTTCAATTCGTTTTCCTTTCTAGCACATTGCATGTGTAGTTGTAAATATAAAGTGGAATAGCTAAAAAATTCTGCACGGGTAAAGGAAAGTAATCATAATGAAGTAGAGAATAAGAATAATAGGTCACACTTTTAGAGCTGTCACTTACTGCAGGAGACAGATCTAGGCCTTACACATCTCAGGCTTCATAAGGATCTTCTGCAGAAGGTTCGTTATTATCTCCGTTGTACTGATGAAGACACTGAGAGCAGCAAGGTTAACTGCCTTGCACAAAATCATACAGATAATAAGTGGCAGAGCCAGGATTCAAACCCAGCAAATCCATTCTACGGCCATGCTACACTGAACAAGCCCTCTCTCGTTTGATCTCGGAAGCTAAGCAGGGCGGGTCCCGGTTAGTACTTGGATGGGAGACCACCTAGGAAGACCAGGTGCTGTAGGTGTAAAAAATAAAAAAATAAGGGATTGTAAACTGACAAGATCCTTGCAATCTGTGAGGTCAACCAAGGGTTGCCTCACCTAAAATATTAAAAAAAAAAGACAAACAAAAACCAGCAAATCTGGTTTGAAATTCCGTGCTTTTAATCGGTAATAATTGCTAGTTTTAATGAACACTTACTATGTGCAAGTCACTATTCTGAGTGTTTTACCTGTATTAACCTGTACTTCTCCCCCAAAGCCTATGAAATAAGTGGTATTATCCTCATTTACAAATGGTAAAACCGATACACTGAAAAACCGACTTGCGGTAGATGATACAGCTAGTGAAAAGTAGAGATGGTATTTGCGCCCTGGCCTCGAGCCCGAACTCTTCATATCTTTTCTGCTACATGCCAGACTGTTTCTACATGTCAGGGAGTTTCATATGCAGTATCACATATCTCACATCCTGTGAGCCAGATATTTTTCTTATTTTATAGATGAGACATTTGAGGTCCTGAGAGATTAAACGACTTGCCTAAGGACCCACAGCTAGATAGAGTCAGAACTAGGTCCAAAGCCATGATACACATCACTATGTTATAACTACTGTGTCTTCTGCCTCCCAAATCCTCAGGGCAGTCTGGGTCCCAAATTAATTTTTCTCTGACTTAGTTCTTGAGCTGAGATTACTTTGGTTTACATATGCTGAACGGGGAAATATGAGTTTCCGATACAGGCATACCTCAGAGATATTGCAAGTTCAGTTTCAGACCACCGCAATAAAACGAGTCGTAATGCTTTTGTTGGTGGAGGGTCTTGCCTTCAATTTGTAAAAAACGCAACATCTGTGAAGTTCAGCAAAGCAAAGTGCAATAAAATGAGGGATGCCTGTCCAGTTGTCCCTCGGTATCCTCAGGGGATTGGTTTCAGGACACCTCACCCTCCCATACCAAAATCCGGATGCTCGAGTCTCTTACATAACATGGCATAGTATTTGCACATAACCTATGCACATCTTCTCATATCCTTTAAATCATCATGATGTGTATAGTACACATCTGCAAAAATGTGAGTTTTTTCTAATATTTTCCATTTGTGAATGTGGAACTGATGGAGGGTCAACTATATACATCTTTCCCAGCAGGTCTTCCTGAGGCACCTTACTTAGGGTATTTTCATATCATTGTATTCTGTTGGATCGTGTTAAAATATCATCGCTTATAAATCCACAGAAGGAGCTTGGTTAATTCCTCATATATATTTTTTCTGTCTTGTTAAACTAGTCTGTTGAGTCGTGGTTGAGAAGTGTACGGACAAGAGTAATGATCTTGGTGTTTGCAAAGGGGTGTTTGATCGTGCCTGCCATTTTGCCCAAAAATGTTGACCAAGAACTACAAAGGGAGCTGATAACAGATCTGCAGCTGCCCTCCCCAGACACAAAGCCAACCATGGTTCCCTCTGCCTGGTTTGTGTCATCCTTTCCCTAGGAGACTCCTTCTTCAGAACCAATGGAAGAAGAAGAGGAAGAGGAAGACTTGGAGCTCTTTGGTGGCTACGACAGTTTCCGGAGCTACAACAGCAGTGCGGGCAGTGAGAGCAGCTCTTATCTGGAGGAGTCAAGTGAAGCAGAGAATGAGGAGAGGGAAGCAGGAGAGTTGCCCACCTCCCCGCTGCAGCTGCTCAGCCCTGGGACTCCCCGCTCCTTGGACGGCAGTGGTTCTGAGCCAGGTGCCTTCAGAATGTCCCTGAAGATGGGGAGGTTTCCGAGAGCTGTGAAGAAAGAGGGGGATATAGGCCATGTGGGCAGAGGCATCCAGGTATAAAGGGCCGTTTGATCTGATGTCTAAGGGATCAGATGTCTGAGGACCTGCGAGAGAGGGAGAAGCACCCCAAGTATCCCCAGGGGTCATCTCCTCTGTTACAGTCTGATTTCATACTGTGACTTCATTCGTTCCTTTGTACAGCTGGTATTTCTTTCAGCACATATTAGATGCCAGTCATTTACATGGTGCTGCTTTTCTATTTGAGTGAATAGCTGGTGGATTTCTAAGCCTTCACGTTGAGAAGATAGGACACTTAAAGTGTTCTGGTTACTATCTGGGAAGGGACAAGAAATATCTTGTGGGTTGGAAGTGGCAGGGAGGGAGATACAGAATAAAGTGAGCTCTCGGTAAGAGGATTAGGATCGGGGTGGGCAGATAAGAATCCCCGTGGGTCATCTGGAAGCCATTTGGCTTCAGAGATGTGATGCTTGGACAGCTGCTGGACTCCTGTTCAGGGCTTTCAGTGTGTGGACTGCCTGTGAAAAGAGGCAGGCAAGGTGGTCTGTGAGAACACTATTCCTTGGTACCTAACCTCTTCAGAAGAATAATCTATTACTCTTTGACAGTTGAATCTTATTTCCTTTCTATTCATCCTGCCTTCTCTTCCTCTCCTTTTATCTCTCTCCTTTCTATCTTCTGATCATTCTCTTAGAACTTTAGAACTAGAAAGAACCAATAGAGACCATCTAGTCCAGGGGTTCGCTATCCTGGCTGTGCATTAGAGTTCCCTGGGGAGCTTTTAACAAACTACAGGTGCCAGTGTCCCAGCACAGGCCAATTTATTGGAATCTCAGGCTTGAGCTTTTTGAAATCTCTCCAAATGATTCTAATGTGAAGCCAGGGTTAAAACACTGATCTAGTTCACTCTCTTTATAGCTGAGAAGAAAATAGACCTATAGAAGTGACTTGGGCACACTTGTTTTTCTCATTTTCCTCTGCAATCTTTCCAACATTTATTTCCCTGGTTGTCCTCATGGGTTTTCCTTAGCCGCACTGTTGACACATGCCCAAGGGATGCTAAGCTGCTTATCTTAGGCAAAATAGATTCAGGACTTACCTGGTTAACGCAGTGCCCAGGTTTTGAAGGACCCATCGTTGTGTTTGATTTGGGGTGACCGTTACCAGGCGAGTCACGTGCTAAGTTCTCTTCCCAGCTGTCTGTGAGATGTGCGGTATCGTGGGTACAAGGGAAGCCTTCTTCTCCAAGACCAAGAGATTCTGCAGTGTCTCCTGTTCCAGGAGCTACTCCTCCAACTCCAAGAAAGCCAGTATCCTGGCCAGATTACAGGTGAGAGGGGGGCACCTGGAAGACCTTTCCCAGGGCCCCGGGCGCCAGATGGGAACAAGCGGCTGACCAACAGCAAGGGACCCACAAGGCTTAGGAAGGACCTTGCCGCGTCCGTCCGTGGTTGTCAAATTCCTGGCATTTGTTATGATCTCAAACTTTAGAGGGCAGAGGATGCTATTTGTGGAGCTCGTTAAGTTCTAGATTCCTGGAGCTCCGTTCCCTTCATTCCCCACCCTCACCCCTTAGAGTCTGATATGTTCAAAAAGTTTTCAGCAAGAGCCTTGAGGGAGCCTGATGCCCTTGGTCTTTGCACCACACTTTTATAAACGTCTGAAAGGGAGTTGGGAGCCGGCACATGCTTCATCAGCCACAGTGGGTTTAGAAAGTTGATGTCTCTGCTCTGACCCCATGTCATAGGCAGCCACCCAGTCTCGCCAATCTCTAGTTAGTTATTGACGTTCATAGAGCTTTTAAAAATGGAAGGACGCTGATGTGTTGTCTGGCCCACACGTTAATTGATACGTGTGCTGAGGTCCACAGAGAATGGCTTACCAAGGATGGCTCTGTGGGATGAGAGCAGCAGAGACTGGAGACTCATCTCAGGTGCCTGGCCATGTGTTGTTTCCTGTGACCATAGCCACCATCGACAATGCTGGTTCTCAAACTCGACTGCATGTCGGGATCACCTGGAAAGTTTTAAAAATATCGATGCTTGGGTCATAACTCCTAAAGATTCTGATTTAATTGGGACGGAGAGCGGCCTGGACTTGGGGGCTTCAAAAAGCTCCCCAGGTGATCGTAATGTGCAGAAAGTTTGAGACCCTCTCATGTTTATTCAAAGTTGCAGTGTCCCAGGTCTCCTGCTTAGTGCTTCATATACTTCATCACCTTTGCGAAAGGATTACTGTTATTTTCTTCTTTTAATGGGTTTTAGTCGAGGCATAGGAAAATCCCTTTACTTGGTGAGCTGATAATATCGTTAATAGCGACAATTTGAGGGTACTTGCTAAGGGCTTGGCACTCTCAGTCTAACCAATGATCCCTAAAAATGAATTTTTAAAAATTCCTATTTTAAAGGGTCAGAAATTTTCAGTAACTTGCTCAAAGGCACACAAAATTGAAGAGTCAGGATTTAACCCCAGGATTTAAACCCACATTTCTGCTTCACTTATCTAATAAATTCTCAGGGCCTTTCTGATCGGTGCTTAAGTTATGAACTATAGACCAGATCAGTGCCTTTTCACTCTGCGAGAGAACCCCTTTGAGCCTGATGAAAGCCATGGTGCCTCTCCAGAAGGTTCTCGATCAAACCCAAGGCTTAAAGGAAAGAACACTTGTCCCTCCCCGCCCTGCAGCTCTGCATCCACTGTCCTTCCCTGCCCTGCAGCTCTGTGGCCACCCCCAGTCCCTGGGTGAACAATAGCTAAGTTTACTGAGTGCCAGGCCTGATACTGTGATTTTCTCCTTGCAACACCCCTCAGAGCTAAGCATTGTTATCATCTTGATTTGCAAATGAAACAAGTCCCAAAGAGCTTAATTGGACCCTTGCCAGAGTTCAAACCTAGGCGGTGCAAATCCTGAGCCCAGCTCTCAGCCAAGCTGCACACGTCCTCCTCCCTGCAGGGAAAACCACCTACCAAGAAAGCCAAAGTCCTGCACAAGGCTGCCTGGTCTGCCAAAATCGGAGCCTTCCTCCACTCTCAAGGGACGGGACAGCTCGCAGATGGGACACCAACAGGGCAAGACGGTAAGACAAGAGCAGACTGTGTTGGGAAGTTGGTGGGGGTGGGGTGCCAGGACTGGGGGGCCCTCTCTAGGAAGGAACGCTGGAAAAGATGCCAGCTAGAAAGCCCTCTGAGCCAGGCGTGCTGTACATTGCATCTTCCTCACCTGGTAGGTATTATGGAAATTATCCCAGAAAATCCCTAAAATTGCCGGGACCTCTACCTCTGATAATTCAGAAGCCAGGAATTAGCTTGTGTTTTACGTTGCTTTTAGCCTGGGGGTGGTGGAAACCCAGGTCTGTTTTGCAGAGGAATAGGGAGAGGGGTGGCAGCTAAGAAAAGGAAACAATTTCTGAGTGTGTAGCAATTTTTGAGCAAGTTAAACTGTAGGCACAAAGCACCTTTGCTTTGTATGGTCTGAGTTTCTGACTGAAATCGAGCTCACAGCTGGAGGTTGGAGGGGCCTAGGTGCCTGCACCTCCCACCCATGTAGATCGGCTCTAGCCAATGAGAGGTCAGGGGAGGTCTGAGGAATTTAAGCTCAAGGGTCTTTGAATTTCCTTTTTTCCTTTGGGGAAGAAAGGTCAGACATTTCCTTCTGCATGTCCTCTACTCCTGAGAGTCTGGCAGCCTTTGGATAAGGTCCCGATGGCCACTGGTGGGACAGGTATGGAGATAGGTGGCCTCCCGTGCACTTGGGGTCGAGATGCTGCCAGAGTGGGTAGGAGACCTGTTTCTCCAGGCTGCACAGGGCCAGCTTCCTAGAGTGGCTGCTGCTTGGGCCCCCAGCCTCCCTTCTCTCTAACGCTCCTCTCTGCTCTGCAGCGCTGGTCTTGGGTTTCGACTGGGGAAAGTTCCTGAAGGATCACAGTTACAAGGCTGCTCCTGTCAGCTGTTTTAAACACGTGAGTGCCCTGGAGATGAGGGGAGGGAGAGCGGGAGCCCGGGTCCTCCACTGTTCCAGGCTGGACACTGGCACCGGGAGAGAACAGTGGTGAGGTCTGGGTGGTCGAGGCCCCGCTTCGCCACTCGCTCCAGTTTACCTTTCAGTTCACGCTTCAGAAGCCCTCCCACAAACCCTCAGTGCGGGCTAGCGCTGTGCCTCCCCTCCGGGGTTCCCACTTTGTTATTCACATAACGGAACTTTGTGCTAGATGTCGTCTGAGAGCCCGCTCTGAAATCCTTTTCTTCCCCATTTGTAGTGTTTTCCCATTGAAAGCTAGGTGCTCGTGAACTGCCTCGCTGGGAGGCAGATGTGGCTACATCCCGGGGCCCACTTCTGTAAAGGTTCCCTGACCTCCAATCATTGCGAAGCACCAGAGGGCGAGGCCCCAGACGGCTGGGCTCTGAGTGGAAGGAGCAGCATGGACTTAGCATGCAGCATAGGTAGCCACGTGGCCTGCAGGGCGGGAGGGAAGCCCAGAGCAGCATTCTCTTTTGCCTTTGGAGCCAGTTTTCTGAACCCCAGGACATCCGGGAGGAGGTCTGATTGGTCTCGGGGCCCCTCGCCAGAGGAAGCCCGCTTCCTAGCCGCTCCTTTCTGGACTGCTGAACTCGGGACTGCCCTGAGCAACAGGTTGGCCCTCGTCGCCGCCTCTTACTCTTCTCTGAATTCCTGGTGAAGGCTCACACCTTTCCTGCTTTGGGGGCCTCTTCGTCGCCCTGAACCCTCCAGCAGTCCCTGCAGTTTCACACACATCGGTTCACACCCTCTGAAAATCCCCTCTGTGCGCGCCTGAGTTCTCCGATGAGCCCAGTCTCTGCGGCAGGGGAGATGGAGTGGGATACCCCGATTGGCTTAAGCCAGGGCCGAGGATGAGGAAAAAAGGTGAATTTCCCCAAAAGAGAATCGAGGTACCTTTGGTAGCAAAGTGAGGATTAGATATTGGAAAGGCACCCCAAAACAGTCCATTGCTGTCAGGGGACATTTTAACCGGTTAGGGAGGTAGGGGAAGTGTGCGGTAGACAGCTCTGTGAGAGCCGGCATGGTGACAGCTGAGGGACGAGGGGTCATGGTCTTCACCACCCAGGTTTGAGTGACCACCGAACGAGGTAATATTTGTGCCAAGAAAGTGCCTGGCATGTGGTAAGCACTATAGAAACTCTTAGGTGTCCTTACTGTCACACAGGCTGGCACAGGTGTGATGTGCCCAAGACAGTACAGCGAGGGGCTGGCCCCGTGCAGCTCACTTCTCAGGGCTGTCTGACTCTGGATCTCTGACCATCGCCCCTGCCTACCCCCGAGCTCCGTCCTCATTCCCTGACTCCACTCTTCAAGGACAGCAGACACAACACATCTGGCTCATCTCTTCCTCTCTAGTCCCGTGCTTGGCTTCCCACACAAAGTGATGTGAAAAGGCAAAGGGCACAGTGACTCACATGGCCGTGAGGCCAGCCACTCAGCTAGCCAGGCAGCTCACTGTCCCCCTGGGGTTCCCTCGTCCCCACCCAGGTCCCGCTCTACGACCAGTGGGAAGATGTGATGAAGGGGATGAAGGTGGAGGTGCTCAACAGTGACGCCGTGCTCCCCAGCCGGGTGTACTGGATCGCCTCTGTCATCCAGACAGCAGGTGGGTGCTCCTCTGGCTAAGGCCTGTACAGGGTCAGGGTCAGGGTCAGGAGAGTGGCAGCTCCAGATGGGTAGGCAGCGCTGTAGGCAGAAATTAGCTTCATAATACAAAAAAACCATCCGCTGGACTTTCGGCCTCTTTTGCATCTCTCCTTGTCTACCTTAGAGGGGCCCGCATAGCTTGGTGAGTTTGGGATCTCCCAGTTTTTTAAGTCTGTTCTAAGGACAATCTGGCTATAGAAAACTAATTCTCCCCACTATACTGCTTTCCAAGTAAGTGGCATGGTTTGGCCATGACTCCTGTGGACAGCAGAGACCCCTGTGCCTGGAGGAGTTCCTGGACTAGGCAGTGGCACGTCCAGTGTCGGCTGGAGAAGAGGGAAGGCCTCAGATCCCTTTCCCATCCCCCCCGCCCTCACTGGTGCTCTTTTCCTTCGTCCAGGGTACCGAGTGCTGCTCCGGTACGAAGGCTTTGAGAATGACGCCAGCCACGACTTCTGGTGCAACCTGGGAACTGTGGATGTCCACCCCATCGGCTGGTGTGCCATCAACAGCAAGATCCTGGTGCCGCCACGGAGTGAGTCCATGAGAACATGGGCCTGTGCTGGTTCCGGCAGGGCCCTTGGTAGAAGGAGCATCCTCTGCCTGAGGTCAGAACAGAACCCACCTGCCGCATCTGTCCCAGAGGCCCTGGGGCAGATCAAGGTTGTGGAGCTTGGCTCTGTAGGATGAAGTAATTTCCCAAAAAGGCAGAAACAAGTTGTTCCATCCCCTCTGTGATCGCTGGGCGGCTCTGACGCCCTCTGCGGGTGGGAGTGTTGTCAGTCTGTGTAACCAGGAATCTGCTGTCTCACAGCCATCCATGCCAAGTTCACCGACTGGAAGGGCTACCTCATGAAACGGCTGGTGGGCTCCAGGACGCTCCCCGTGGACTTCCACATCAAGGTCTGGCAGGGAGCCCTTTGGGTCTCCTAATTGGTCGCCCTCCTGTCCCTCCTCTCATTTTCTATCCTTCATGCTGCTCATTGGAGTGTTTAAGACGGCCTTGCTTAGCAATCTAGCAGCTCTTGCCGTCTGCCTTCCCAGCCTCTGCCCCACCCAGACTCTGACCCAGTCACATGGACCACTCTGCTTTGTCTGCCATTGCTCTTCCAGATCCCCACCCTCATTCACAGCATTTTCAGGAGCATTCAGTCAATAGATTTCATTAAGTACCTGTATACAAGGCCCTGCGGGAATACAGACCCCGCCATCCAGGACTCTCTAGACTGGCAGAGGAAATGAAGTCATGCACGTGAATAATTATCAAAAGCCTTGGTTCTGAACCAGGGATGTGCTTCGGAATCACTTTGTGGCTTTTAACTCTTTAAAAATTATTTAGTTCTTTAACCTAAAAAGTCCCACACTTGGTAAAAATTCAAAGAAATCTGAAGGGTACACAGTGAAGACCAGTCTCTCCCGCTCTATACGCCAGACCTGCTGTGGGTCTTGCTCACGTAGGTGCCTGGGCCGCAGCTGAGGTCTCCTGACCCGGGTGCTCACAGGTGTACTTCTGGTGTTGCCCTGGGCATCAGAGCAGTGAGCAGGGCAGTGCAGGGCCCGTGCCGCCATGACACGAAATTGAACTGGCTTCATGGCCTGAGGAAGAGTGGGTACCAAGGCTTCATGGAGAAAATGGCATTTGAATTTCACCTTGATGGGTAGGGCGTGGGTGGTATGGAAGCCAGCAGTGGAAAATGAGGATGGCGTGGAAGTTTGGGCAACCTCATCCGAGGCACCGGACACCAGGTGAAAAGTTGCTGCCCCATGGGCCTCAGCTGGCAGAGAGTTTGCCTTCAGCAGCGGACGGTTCCATGTACCTCAAGGAAGCGTTCTCTGGCCCTTTTTTTCCTAGGTAGAAATTATTTTTCTTCTCTTGGACCTTACTGGGTACTAATTTGCTATTTATCTCTCTGTGTTGTTAATTACCTTTTAATAGTCTCTTTCCAACAAAACTGTAAGCGTTTTCTCCTACACTTACCGTAGTGCTTTGCACAGTTGACAGATTTGCCGTTGAGGGTAACCGTTGACACTTTCTCAGCTCGCCCTTGTTCTAAGATGAGGCAGGTGATTGTTAGTGGTACAGGCCACTACGTATATCAGAGTGGCCTCTTTAAAGGGTTTGATTCTGTGTGGCAGAGCAGGGTTCCACGTGAACCAGTCAGCAAGCATGTGTTGACTGTCACACGCCCAGTGCCGTAGTAGTGCATGCCAGACAGGATACAAGAGCAGCTGCCTCTGAAGATGAAGGGGGAGGGAGGATAAAAGTGGAGGAAACTTCAGTCCAAACATGGCCTTCGGTGCCTGCAGTACAGTAAGTGCTTAGTAAAATGAATGAATGACCCATCAGCCAAGGTCAGGTGCATGTGTGTGTGTTTGTTCATTGTTGGGAGAAAACGTTAACTGAGCAATAAGTCAATTCTGTGCTCAGGGCTGAGATGTAGAAACAAATCAAACCGAACCTAGCTTCTGTCTTTACGGAGCTCAAGTTCCAGTGTGTGACCATGAAGTGTCCTTGGGTTGTGGGCTGGGAACGCAGAGGAAGGGAATGTGTCAGGAGAGGCTAGGTGGGGAAGGCGGCCAGGGGGACCCCAACCTCGGCCTCACCTTGCGTTTCTCTCAGATGGGCCAGTCAGATGCTTGGTGTTAAGGCGGATCAGTCCTTGAGCTGGGCACCAAGGGTCTAGTGGAGGGCAGTGTCAGCTTTTCCTGGTGGCTGCTTTGTGACCTCTGAGACGCTCCCCACAGCAGGCCTGGGTTCTGATCTTGCTGGGGCGGGGAAAGCCCTGCAGAGAGAGCTCCCTGTACCCTATCTACCGCAAGACAGCCCTGGTCACAGCACAGCCTCCTGCCCCCTCACCCATACCTGCCATCAGCGCTCTCTAGCTTGTGGGCCTCTTGGTCACTGTCTCTTGCTGAGTCAGAGGGTGCAGCCATCACTACTGAGGTGCCGTGAAAGCTGTTCAGAGCCACAGCCCAGGGAAGCCAGAGCTGGAATTAGACATGGAAGCGAAGAGGACTCTATTCTCTGTGCCATCAGCGAGGGGCCAGGAGGGAGGAGAGTATGGGGTACCTGCAGGATCAGAGTGCACATCCCTGAAAGAGTACAAGGCTGGACACTGGGACCAGGTTCAGGGCTCAGCTCTGGCACTGAGTCTGACTCTGGGCAAGACACTTGACCGCTCTGCGCATCGTTCCTTAGGCTAAAAAGGGTTTTGTCATTCCCATCAGATGACTTACTGGTGCTTTGAGTGCACACATTGTAAGCTGTGCATCTTCCCTCAGTGTCATCCTAGGGACTTAGGGGCCAGGTTTGAACCGGTGGGACGGGGGCTCATCTGGCCTCCTCTGACTTAGTGTTTGGGTTGACTCCACATCACCTTTGTGCTCCAGATACTTGTAAGAGAGAGAACAGGAAGGTGTCTGGGAGGGTCCCCATGCCCACAGCCGGCCTGTATTTTGGTGTTGCAGATGGTGGAGAGCATGAAGTACCCGTTTCGGCAAGGCATGCGGCTGGAGGTGGTAGACAAGTCCCAGGTGTCGCGGACCCGCATGGCCGTGGTGGACACGGTAATTGGGGGTCGCCTACGGCTCCTCTACGAGGATGGCGACAGTGACGACGACTTCTGGTGCCACATGTGGAGCCCCCTGATCCATCCAGTGGGTTGGTCACGGCGTGTTGGCCATGGCATCAAGCTGTCAGGTTAGCAGAGCCCCAGGCCAATGTGACCCAAACTCTGCTGCCCCAGGGCCTGGGCAGGATCATCTCCTCCCTGCAGATGGCAGTACTGAGGTCCAGAGAAGTTGAGTGTCTTTACCAAAGTCACTCAGCTTGTAAGTGGTAAAATCGATTTGGACCTAGAGACTACAAGCCGCATCCTCTCCCTTGTCCCGTGGGAAGAGAGTCTGGGCCTTGGGGGCTGCATGGTTCCTACAGAGCTCCTGCTGCTTTGTATTCTAGTCTAGGTCGGGGCTGGGGGCTGCAATTGAGACCAGAGCATGCGCAGCTGCACATTTCTGGGGGACGTGTGGAGATGGCCCTGTTAGCCTTCAATTCCCTTCTCTCCCTCGCTCCCTCTGCCGCTTCCCCAAAAGAGAGGCGCAGCGACATGGCCCACCATCCCACCTTCCGGAAAATCTACTGTGATGCTGTTCCGTACCTGTTCAAGAAGGTGAGGCACAACCCCTGGCTGTGGGTGCACGCCCAGCCTCAGGACTCCGGCTCTTTCCAGGGATGTCCCTTTTCCTCCCCGTTTCCCTCCCAGAGGCTGGCTCCGCCATCCTTCAGCTGGGCCAGCCCGGATTCCCCAGCTGTGCCATTCCTTGAAGGTTCGAGCTGTGTACACGGAAGGCGGTTGGTTCGAGGAGGGGATGAAACTGGAAGCTATTGATCCACTGAATCTGGGCAACATCTGCGTGGCGACCATCTGCAAGGTGAGCTTGGAGCTGGCCCTCCAGCCTCCAGGACGGCTTTCTCGGGACGGAGCTGGCACAGAGCTCTGTTCTCCCCGTCCATCCCACCTTCCCAACACGGGCTGCTCCTGGAGTGCCTGATTTTTGTGGATTAGGGCGCTTACCTGCTCCTTGCTCAGAATCTGCTTTCGTGTCAAGGTTGGAGGCACGTCGCACAGGTGTTTATTGAACCCCTGGCTTGAGCAAGATCTTGCGTCAGGTATAGGCCCCACCCTGTCACCTCAGTGGGGGCCTTTCCACTGCCACACGCCGTCTCCTTTAAGTGCTGGCCTAGCCGAGAGCCACGGCCGGGCTGACTGCTGCACACCTCCGTTATTGCAGCCTGAAAGGCAAATGACCTCGGCCTCCTTGGGGGACGTGCTGTTTTGTCTACGTGGCAGATCTCCTCCAGGCCAGGCCTGCGTGCTTGCCGCTGGTGACAGTGGCTGGCACAGCATTTGCTGTCCAGTGAGGGAGGTCAGTGATCTCACGGGCATAGTTCATAGAAATGCTAAGCACTCTGGAGCTGCCACTCAGGGAAGCCGAGATCCGGTTGGGTTCATGGCTTCCTGTCCTCACTACAGCCACCTTGCCTTGGGATGGGGGTGCAGCTCATGACACCCTGTTCTGTCTGCCCCACACCTACCCCCAGGTTCTCCTGGATGGCTACCTGATGATCTGTGTGGATGGGGGACCCTCCACAGACGGCTCGGACTGGTTCTGTTACCACGCCTCCTCCCACGCCATCTTCCCTGCCACCTTCTGCCAAAAGAATGACATTGAGCTCACACCCCCGAAAGGTCAGACTGGCCTGTGCACGCTGCAGGCGCTCTTTTCCGGGCTCCTTCCGCCTCTCTCCTCTCTCTGCATCTGCGCTTTCTGCTCCTCCAGGGTGTGAGGCACAAACTTTCAACTGGGACAGCTACCTGGAGAAGACCAAGTCAAAAGCAGCCCCGTCGAGGCTCTTTAACATGGTGAGGAGACTGAGGATGCAGGGCCAGGGCAGCCGCTGGACCGGCCCTGCCCACTGTCAGCGAGTCTTTCCTGAGATCAGCCACTGCGGGGGAAGTCCCAGCTCCTACCTGGGCACTGTGCCCAATAGCTTAGCCGGTCCCTTCCCGGGGGGTTGGTACTTGGGAACAAAGTATAGTGAGGTCACTGGTCAGGGGAACATCCCCCGCAGGCACTCTCGGCCCTGCTCCCTCCCCCCGGTTCTGTCTCTCCGGGGCAGGGAGCTGGCTGGCGTGGTCACTGCCCCTTCTGCCTCCAGGACTGCCCCAACCATGGCTTCAAAGTGGGCATGAAGCTGGAGGCCGTGGACCTCATGGAGCCACGGCTCATCTGCGTGGCCACAGTGAAGCGGGTGGTGCATCGGCTCCTCAGCATCCACTTCGATGGCTGGGACAACGAGTATGACCAATGGGTGGACTGTGAGTCCCCAGACATCTATCCTGTTGGCTGGTGTGAGCTCACCGGCTACCAGCTCCAGCCACCCGTGTCCACAGGTCTGGGCTCTTGCGGCCCTAAGGGGTTCTCAACTTTGCTTTCCTTTTTCCTTCCTGGCATCCACCCCACCCTGTGCCCATCTTACTTTCGGTGTGAGATTGAGAAGTGCGGCCCACCTCTAAGGGACGAATGGCCCTGGCTCCTGACTTCTCTGTCTCCCTCTCACTCTGGTCTGCAGAGCTTCCTTGACCTTGCCGCTCTGTCATAGGCTCATGCCCTTAGGCACCCCAGCCAGGTAAACTACCCAGGTCCCTCCGAGCAGCCCTGCCCTGAGCAGCCCTGCCCTGGTGACGAGAGTGTTCTCCAGTCCCTCCCCCACCCCCTCCCCCATTCTCTTTGCTCAGCTTCAGCTTTTCTTCTTGGGGCAGCTAGTGTGGGGTGGGCAAGGGCCTCTACCCTGCGTCCTCAAAACTCATCTCAACTCTTGCCCCTGTTTTTCTACAACAGAGCCAACCACACCTCTGAAGACCAAAGAGGCCACGAAGAAGAAGAAGAAGCAGTTCGGGAAGAAACGTAAGTGGCTCTCTAAAGCAGCATGGGCTGGCGCGGGGCCTGCGATCCGCTGGGCCAGTGTCTGTGGGAGCGGAGCCAGGGAGTTGTCACGTGGGTAGTGCTCTTCACGGTCCCCCCCATCTCCTCTGCTTGTCCTTTGGTCTCATGGGCTGTTGCCCTCTGTCTTCAGAGCCCCAGAGCATAACAGGGAGTCTTCGGTTTCTGGCAATGGTCAGGATGCCGGGGAAAAGGCAAGAGGTTGTGAGAGAGGCGGGTGGGACCCCACCCCTGCCGCCCCATGGCAGAAACCGGCATGACACGTCCCCTTCAGCAGTGCACAGGCCCTAGATATGAAAGTCAAAGGCCTGGGAGGAAATGGCAGCTGCTCCCCAAGGCCACCAGTCTTCCCTTGTGACCCCCTGAGGGTGGGATGAGGGCCGTAGCCGAGCTTCGGGGTCGTTTCACTAGGCGGAGCCCGCTCTCAGCCAGTCCTGAGCCCGGCGTGGACTCAGCTCAGGGGGCAGCAGGTGGAGAGGGTCAGGGAGTGGAGGAGGCCGAGCCGTTCTCTGGAGCTGCAGGCCAGTGGCAATGAGGTGTCCCCATGATGTGGCACCAGAGAAACAGCACAAAGAGGTCCCTGAGCAGGATTAAGATCACATGAGGGTGTGGAGGTCCCCGAGGGGCAATGTCAGAGGCTCAGGCCAATTCCCCCACATTGGTGCCAGGCCCTCTGCTCCGCTGCCCAGGCGCTGGATGAGACCCCGCGTTTGAGCCTCACGCGGATACAGCCCTGATGCTGGGTTTAATGCCGTTTTTATTCAAAGGGAAAAGAATACCGCCCACCAAGACCCGGCCCTTGAGACAGGGGTCCAAGAGGGCCTTGCTGGATGAGGACCTGCAGGCGGCAGAGAAGACGTCGTCGGAGCCCGCTCCTGATGAGAGTAAGGGCCCCCAGCCGGGCCGAGGCAGCGCCAGCCTGCTCCGGGGCTCAGACGTGGCCCCTCTTCCCCACCTGGGCATGGAAGGGTAGAGTCAAGTCTGAAGGGAATGTTCTGGGCACCACGCAGTCTTCCTCATGCCCCTGGCCTGAGGAGCTTCCCAAACGTCCACCCCTGCTCTGAACGGAGCCAGCAGCTGCAGTCTGGCCCTGCCGTCTGCCCTCGCCTCATGCACCCAGGTGGGCAGCAGGTGCGCAGGCTCCCGTGTTTCTGGCACAGCCTGCCTGGCGACGAGTGATAGGGCCCCGGGCCTTCTCTGTCACTTACCCCCACCTCATCCTGAGGTCCCCATCTGTAGCAAGCCAGATCCTGCGCCCCGCCCTTCCCGAGTTACACGCGCACTCACTCTGTCCTCTCGGCCCTCCCACCTCCTCCCTCTTTAGTCATCGCTGTGCGCGTGAAGGAAGAGCACGTGGACATGTCCACGCCTGACAAGGCCTCGAGTCCAGAGCTGCCTGTCTCCATTGAGAACATCAAACAGGAGACAGACTAAGCCTTCCCTGCTGCCAGCATGGCCACCCAGCTGGAAGCTACTCCAGGCCTCCTCTTGCCACCGCCCCTCCACCCCACTGTAGCTTGGACACTGAGTCTTTTTGCATAAATTCTGCTTGGTGCTTTGAGGGCCAGGCACTGGAGGCCCAGCCGGGGTCTCCTCTGACCCACGCTGTGGCCTCTGCCCTCCTCCCTGGCAAGGCCTAGTGACTGGGGCTGTCTGAGCGCACCGCCCCCCACACTTGTCTGAGCAGCTCCCCCTCCAGCTAGAATTCCTTAGGCTGCCTCCCTCTACGCCCCTCAGTGTCGGCGTGGGGGGCTATTCCTCACTCACACTGTAAGTGTGTGTGTGTGCGTGTGCGCGCGCACGCACGCACATCAGCATGCGCCTGGTCATAATGGCCTGCAGCCGCTCTCTCGAAGAGACGGTGATGGGTGTGATGGGTGCAGCCTCTACCTAAAAGCCACCTCTTTCCCCTCCTGGGTTGGTACTCTGCTCCTTCTAGCTCCCTAGGGGGGTTGGGGGGACCCATGCAGGCACCCAGCTCTGGCAGGGAGCTGAGAAGCAATGATCAGGATGTGGGTTTATTTCGGTGACTCGTGAGGTGGCCTTGACCTGCGCTCTGTTGACATGAGCAAACTCCCATTTTTAAAGGGAACAGTGGAGCAGAGGTGGGGTCTGTCCCTTGGGTTGGGCTTGCAGGGGCCTAAAGAGGGAAGACCACACCCACCCCTGTGCCACGTGGCAGCAGGACTGGAGGGTGAGCTTGGCTGGGGTGTGGCCGAGACCCCAGCTGAGAGGGAGACTCACCAGCATTGAGCTTCACCTGCACTAGAGGCTGCTTGGCTCGGCCTGTCCTTTTCACTCCCCCTAACCAGGGTCAGTTACAGCCCTGCCAGACAGTCGCAGAGCTGCGACCTGGAGTGGTCAGCCCTGCTGGCCAAGGCGGCCCTGCAGGAGCTGGAGGAAGAGAAAAGGCAGCAGGACACACTTCCTGACTGCACGTCCGTAACTCAACCTGGATTGTCCCTGCTCCTCTGAAATTACATTCCAGAAGTTCACCTAGTGTCTGCCCAAATTACAGCTTTTCTTTTTTCCAGTCTCCATTGAAACCGTCTCCTCTCTGGTCACTCGTGTCTCTTCGATAACTCCTCTTCCTGGGAGCTAAGGTGCAGGCAGGCTGCAGCCCTCAGCCCCTTCCTGTGCATGGGGTGAGCAGCACTGCAGCCAGAGCCCGCGTCTGCCTGCAGGGCCTGCAGCTCTGCTGCTGTGAGTGTCCATCTGCCTTCTCTGAGCTGGTCTGTCGGTCTGCTCAGGACCTGGGCTGTTTGGTGTCTTCCCAGAGGTGGGGTGACCAGCCCAAGGGGAGCCAATTTCCAGTCAGTTTCAGAGAACTTGATCTAGTCTCTTTAGCTGAAGGCACTAGGCAGCCTACATTCTCCAAAAAGTGACTGGGTTTGGGACACAGTGACGATCAGGGACATGTTTTGGGACAAAAGGGTCATTCTCTCTCACACACACTCGGGCAGTGGGTGACAGCTCAGTTGGCATCAGACTCTGGGGAGGAAGGTGGCCTGGGTGTGCACTCTAGCTCAGCCTGCTGGTGGAGCCCTTCTACTGGGGGGACTGTGGCCAGCTCAAAATGGCACATCATCCCACTTTCCTTGCAGTTAAGGGACCCAGTTCTGTCTGAAGAGCTTCTGGGAAAACTGAGTTTATATGGCATTTTGGCCTTTAGTTTCTTTCTGAATGAAGCAATTCCTCCAGCTGCCACGGGCACAAGAGCCCCATGATTTGGATGGCAGAACTGGAGGTCAAGTTTAAGTGCCACTCCAGCCCTTGACTGTCCTCCCCAGAAAGACAGTTCAATCCCTTAGGTGCTGAGGTCCAGTTTGTCAGCTTTCTGTTGATACAGCAGGCTGTATTCTCATGTGCCACCTCAGTAACAGTTATGGAGTGAGTTCAAACACGGAGAGAATAAGCAATAATACCTGTTCTCTCTTGAGCGACCACCTCCATATCAACCATCCGTATTATACTTATTTCTGACATCCCCCTGCCCCAAGGCCCTAAGTTACCCAAAGGGTGACGCTGAGCAGCGTGTATGACGTGGACGAGTACATAAGTATCGTGCTGGGGCCTAAAGGTCAGTTCGATTTGTCAGATGGAAGTGTTGACCCCCAGGACATTTTCACTTGAGATGAGAAACCTTGGGCCTCAACTGCCCTTGAATAGTGCTGACAGCATCCTCAGCGGTGTGGCAAACACCCTTCCCTCCTCTGACAGGCAGTGGCTCCTCAGTGCACACGACCAAGCCCAGAAGCTGGAAGTCCCCGTGCACTTCACATCTTTTCTGTCACCCAGTTTAGACCCTCGGTTCTGCTCAGGGACTAGGAAGGGAACTGCCGTTTATGACAGACTCATGGGCCAGGTACTGGTTTGTACACGTTCCCACAGCTCATCTTGTCTCCACAGTGGACCTGCAAGGTACATGTTGATTCCATTTTGCAGATGAGAAAAGGGAAGATGCCTTAAGGTCTAGTAACTTGGTTCCTTATGTTTACAACTTCAGCGACAGCAGTGGCCTTAAGGCCAGGTTGGTCGGCCATGTTACTGCTAGTACTGCGTTGAGTCACTCAACGCCTTCCCCGTGCCAGACGCCAGCGTCAGGGTGTCAGGACAGGTGTGCATGGCCCAGCGCCCTACCCAGCCAGGGCTTAGGGCCCTTACCCTTCTATTCCTTTGTGTTCTTGGGAGGAAGCTGCCACTTTCAACAAAATAAAAATGAAAAGTCTAGAACTTCAGGGCTAGGTGTTTGGTGGAATATCTCCATGTCAGAAAGGGTGGCTGGGTGGAGTGGTCTGAGATGTCCCAGTTCCTGCCACAGCCACCATGGGCGGGTGTTGGGGGAACCCTTTGAACTAAACACTGTTCTGGAGGTGGACCCATTAGAGCTATTCGAGCCAAGTGTGCACATGCACTGCCGCCAACCCCCTCCCAGCTGAGCTGACGGGGGGACGTGCTGATGCTGCTGTTAGCACAGTGCCTGGCAGAAAGTGCCATGCGACTGCCAGCGTTAATGTTGCTGTTGTCGTTGACACCAGTTCCAGGTCTTGCTTTTAAGGCAGACTTCGCCTTCAGCACGGGGTTCCTTCCTCGCTCCCACCCTGCGCCCATGAGGAGCACTGCTGTGGGTTGAATCCTGTCCCTCCAAAGAAGACATAGCTCAGAATGAGACCTTACTTAGAAATAGTGTCTTCACAGAGGTAAAGCGGGGTCGCTGGGGTGAGCCCTAATCCAGTGACTTGTGTCCTTAAGAAAATGGGACACAAAAATGTAGCGGGAAAGTGATGTGAAGAGACACGAGCTGCCATGTGAAGGTGGAGGCAGGATCTGGAGCTGTGCTGCCACAAGCCAAGGAGCACCTGGGGCCGCCAGAGCCGGCAGGGGCAGGAAGGGTCCCCCTGGAGCCACTGGAGGGAGCTCGGCCCCGCCTTGGCTTCAGACTTCTGACCTTCAGAGCAGTGAGACAATACGCTTCTGTTCTGAGCTCCCTGGTTTGTGGTACTTCGTTCCAGTGGCCCTGGGGAACTAGTGCACCATCTGATGGTCCCCAGACACCCCAAACCTTTAACAGGCAGGTCCAGAAGCAGGCAGAGTCCTCACCCTCCCAGTGCTCACCTGTTCTGTCCTCATTTTCCTCTAAGGATTGGTCTCACCCCCGTGGACCCCTCACTCCATAGCATGGGCTCCCACATGGAGGGGCGCCCCCAGCCCACTCACTCTTCTCTGATGTGCTGCGAGGTTTCGCTACAACTGAGATTTGAGTGTGAATGGATTTGTTAGGATGGTGAACGTAATGGGGCGGTGCAGTGATGCAGAGTCAAGTCCAGCCTGTCCGGGTGGACAGGCAGTGGGTGGCGGTGCCAACGGCACGCCCGCTCAGCGGCTCTTTCCGACCCAGGGACAAGCAAGACCCTTGAGGTCAGGGTGGGAAGTGGTTGAGACAACAGAGATCCAGTCATCACTGTGACAACAGGATGGGTCTCACGGACACGTCAGTGCTACCCGGGAGCTTCGGAACCCGTGCCCCACCAAGGTCCCCGCGCCCGCCTCGTGGCCCACCTCGTCTCTCCGCCGCCTTCCCTGTACGCGGGTCCTCCTGGCCCCGGGTGTCCGCTTGGCCTTCCGGGCAGCCCAGCCCGGGCAGGCTTCAAAGACAGCAGCTGCAGCCTTCAGCCGCTGGCCGCGGGCCCTCGGAGGGCTGGCGCACGTCGCCCCCACGCGTAGGTTCAGCCCAGTGAGCCACCTGAGGAGGGAAGAGAGTCGGGGAACCTGCCGTGCTGAGCTTTTCTGAGGAGAGCACAGGGGTCGTTGAGAATCTGGGCCAGGGGGGCCTAGTGCGTGATAGCGGACCCTGGGGACAGTCCTGGCTCAGCCGCTCACTGATGACGTGACCTGAGCAAATCACTGCCACCCTCAGATTCCGTCTGTAAGAGTTAACGGAGGGCTGGTGATCCAACCTACACACACCACTAAGTCAACATAACTCTTTCCAGCCACCGCCATGAGGCAGGCACGGTTGCTGTCATCCTCTTTACAGAAGGACCTACTCAGGAGGTTACATGGCCCAAGTCAGAGCTGGATTTCGGCTGGTTATGTGGGACTCCAAGTCCTCGTTGCTTTCTCATGTAATTATGTGACGTGCCCACGCACACTGATTCAGTCTCTCCTCACTAGGCTTAGGGCTCAGGGCTCAGAGAAGTCCACCCCAAGCCCATGCACGCTGGCTCCCCCAGGAAGGGTAGTTGGCCCTGGCAGGACCCCGCCCCCTAAAGCTGCTCAGCTGGGCCAGTGTGGCAGCCTGGGGAGGTACTGGGCACTGGGCTGAGAGCAGCTGTGGGTCCCCGGCTGCGGATCTGTGTGGGGATGCTCACCTGTGAAGTGGAAGCAGCTGGCAGTCACAGCGGAAGGGATTGCCGCTGAGGTCCACCAGCTCCAGCTGGCTGAGGCCAGGCAGGGCGGGCAGGGCCTGCAGCTGGTTCTTCTGCAGGTGTAGGCTCTGGAGCTGGGGCCCCAGGCCCAAGAAGGCCCCAGGAGAAATCTGCAAGGAGGTGCCATGCCCGGATGTGAGCTCCTGTCAGGCCAGGTAGGGAGGTCCCCCCAACAGGAGGAACTGGGGAGCCCAAGACGGCCCAGGCAGGAAAGGCAGTGCTTAGCTGGAAACATAGGTTGGTCTGATGCCAAAGCACTTGCCCTTTGCAAGTCACCTGGATCCCCAGTTCATAGTTCTCACTGTTTTGCCTGAACCCACCCCCCAATAATGGCAAAGCTTCTTGGGGGTTCCGCCCTGCCCTCAAAGTCTACAATAGTTGGTGACCCATGGACCCACACCTCTCCCTGTGGCACTGAATCCCGCCTGCTCTGTCACACACGCCTGAGTTCCCTGGGGGCAGGCGCAGTCTGGCTGATTTTAGAGTGTCCATGCCCGTCTCGGGCCTGGCACTGCAAAGGCAGCCGTGTTTGTTGAGTGAACAACAAGCCGTGTTTGCTTACGTGCTGCCTTTCCACCCCTGCCATGCCCGTCTCGGGCCTGGCACTGCAAAGGCAGCAGTGTTTGTTCAGTGAACGCTTATGTGCTGCCTTTCCGCCCCTACTCCCTGGGCCCACCCGCTCCGGCCACCAGCCCCTGGGCCCACCTGCTCCAGTCCACTGCTGTTTAGGAAGAGGTGCTGCAGCGACCGGCCCACGGGCTGGAAGGCCCCGTCTCGCAGGGCCCTGAGCCGGTTCCCCGAGAGCTGCAGCTCCAGCAGGGCAGGCAGCCCCACCAAGGCCCCAGTGGGCACCTCTTGCAGCTGGTTCCTGTCGAGGTGCAGCTTCTCCAGCTCCTGAGCTGGGCCCAGAGCCCCGGGAGACACTTGTGTGATACGGTTCCCACTCAGGTAGAGCCAGCGCAAGGCCTGCACGCCTGCCAGGTCCCCAGGTGCCAGGTGGTCCACAGCGTTGTCCTGCAGGTGCAGGGAGAAGAGGCTGGGCAAGACATGCAGGGCAGACCCAGGCACCTGCAGGAAGCGGTTGCGCTCCAGGTACAGGTAGCTGAGGCGGGGGGCCCCTTTCAGGGCGGCAGCACTGAGGCCTGAGAGCTGGTTGTCAGACAGGTAGAGATAGAGCAGGCTGCCCAGCCCCGCCAGGGCGCCAGCCTCCAGCTCCGCGATGCTACAGTGCTGCAGGTGCAGCGACACCAGCTGGCCCAGGCCTGGGAAGGCCGCTCGCGGCACCGAGGGGAAGTGGTTGTGCCTCAGGTCCAGGAGCCGGGTGTCGTTGGGGAAGCCGCGGGGCACGGCCCGCAGGCCCTGGCTCTCACAGCTGCTGTGCCGGGACTCCGAGACGCACGCGCAGGCGCGCGGGCAGGGCTGGGCGGCCCCATCCTCCTCCTCCCGCGCGCCGGCAGGGGCGCGGGGGAGCGGGGCCGCCGTCTCCTCTTCCTCCTCCTCGGCCCCGTCTCCAGGGCAGCGCAGGTCCGAGGGCCGCAGCCCATCCAGGGCCTCGCCTCGCAGGCGCTGGGGCTCCCTGCACACACCGTCCGAGCGCACACGTGCCCGCACCAGCCACTCGAGCAGCGGCCGGGCCTGGCAGCCACACCACAGCGGGTTCCCCTGCAGCCACAGCCGGCGCAGCTGCCCTGGGCCCTGCAGCGGCAGCAGAGTGTCCAGCTGGTTCCCGCGGAGGTCCAGGGTGTGCAGGCGTGGGCAGTGGGCGAAGGCCCTGGGCTCCAGGGCCTGCAGGGCCCCGTGGTCCAGCATCAGCTCCCGCAGGCCAGGCAGCGCCAGCCCGTCCTCTTCGCCAGCGTAGGTGAATGGGTTGTGGCCCAGCTCGAGACGGGCCAGGCTGCTGGCCTGGGACAAGGCCGGCCCGGGCAGGGCCTGCAGCTCGTTGTGGTGCAGGCTGAGCCGGCGCAGGGCGGGCAGGCCAGCCAGCGCCTCCGGGGCCAGCACGCTGAGGGCGTTATGGGACAGCTGCAGCCAGTGGGTACGCAGCAGCCCCTGGAAGGCCATGGCAGGCAAGTAGACCAGGGCGTTGTGGGCCAGGTTCAGTGTGGCCAGTGCGCCCAGTGCCCCAAATGTCCCTGGCCGCAGCTCCTCCAGCATGTTCCCCTCCAGCTCTAGCCGCTGCAGTGAGCCCAGCCCGTCCAGCGCCTCCTGGGGCAGCACGCTCAGGCGGTTGGAGGCCAAGTTGAGGAGAAGCAGGCGGCCCAGACCACGGAAAGCACCCTCGGCCACCAGCTCCACCTGGCAGTGCCGCAGGTCCAAATGGGTCAGATAAGGCAGGTCCTGGAAGGTAGCTGGAGGGATCACCTTCAGCACGTTGCCCCGGAGGTCCAGCCGCTGGGTGAGCTGGGCGGGGAGAGGGGAGGGGAGGCTGAGCAGCACAGGGGCTGTGACCTGTGCTCTTGCTAAGTTTCCCCTCTCGGAACACTCTTCACCCCTCACCTTCGCCTCATTCTCTTCATCCTGCTCACTGACACCTCCTCCAGGAAGCCTTCCTCTCCTGCTGCCCAGGTATTCCCCACTCTAACACTTTTCACATTGAATTGTCACTGACCATTTACTTTCTCTCCCGCTAGTTCTTAACGCCATAGAGCAGAGACCATATATGACCCCCGTTCCCTGCCACAGAGTCTGTAATTAATCCAGTATTTATAGGTTATCTACTTGTTCCAATCACATAGGATTTTTTTCCTCAATCACATAGGATTTTAAATAGATTGTTTCCCTGTTGTTGGTTATCATTCCCATTTTACAGATGTGAAGACTGAGGCTCAGAGAGAAAAAGTGACTTTTCAAGGTTCCCCAGCCAGGCAGTGGCAGATCCTCCCGTGCCAGCTCAGGCTCCTCCCATGTCCTCCCCCCCATCACACCCCTCACCCTGCTGACCTCGGGGATGGCGTCGGGCACCTCGCTGAGGTTCTGGTGTCTGCAGGACACATGCCGCCTGGAGTTGTCACAGATGCAGGTCTGTGGGCACCGCTGGGCGGCTGCGTGCCAAGCTGGGCCCAGCAGCAGCGGCAGAGGAAGCAGCAGGACCAAGGGGATGCTCGGGGGCCTGGAGAGGGAGGGAGGGGGGTCCGTTGTTCACAGGGGCAAGCGTCCCACACTATGCACTCGTGGAGCCCTGGCTCCAGTCCCCAGAGTCCCTCGGCCATCTTCCTCTTTTGCCCCGGGGAATGTGTCATTGCCCTGAGCCTCGTCCCCTCCCACCTGTACACAGAGGTTCTATTGCCCTGTTAGACGCTGGAGAAAACCGAGGCTCAGAAAGGCGACCTGGCGCATCCCCTGGCTGTCTGCCCAGCCGCTGAGTGGGGCCCTGCTAAATGAGAGAACGACTGGGGTTCAGGCCGTGCCCAGGCTGTGGTAAGGCTCCCGGGTCCAGGGGGAGGCCTGGACCTCCCAGTGCGAGGTCGGTGGCGGAAAGAGAAGCAGCCGGTCCTGACAGATGCAGTGCCAGTCCCACGGTGGCAGGGAGCGTGATGGCAACCACCTCGAGAGGACGGCCTGGCAGCCAGAGGGGAGGATTTAGGCCCAGCCTGGGTTGTGGGGTGAGATTTGAGGGGCCAGGTACTGTGGGGTCCCAGAGCCTTGAGGAGCTTTACTGTCTGGTCAGATGACAGATGAGCTGGAAGCTCAGGCCTCTTTCCTGTTTATTCCTGTTGTCCTTCCTTCATCTTAATGTCACCCGCCTGGCCTGGACTGGGTGGGGGAACTGAGGGTATGGGTTTGGGGCTGTGCTTTGGACAAGGTCTCTCCATTTACCTGCCTATCCACCCACCTATCCAATTCCCCCCACACACACTTATCTATCCGTCACCCACTTGGACCTCTTCACATCACAACTAAAGCCACTGCCTGCTGCTCACTAGGACAACCACTGCCACAGGGGGTCCCCTGGCCTTCCCAAAGCTCCGCTCACCACCGACCACCAAAGAGAACTTCCAAAACACAGACAGGCTCTGACACCCCCGCTGAAAACCCTCCAGCACCTCCTCACTGCCCACTGCCCGTGGAACGTCCCAGCTCCTGACTCCCCACCAGGAATGCGCTAGAACTGCTCCGTGTGGCCCTTGGCTCCCCGTGAGCACAGTGCTCCCTCCTGGCTGCCAGCAACACCTGACGCTTCCAGCTCTTCCTTCTGTTTTCAGCTCGGTCGGGGCCTCTGAGCAGCCTTTTCTGATCCCCGGGCTGGGCCCCTACCTGAGCCTCCCACATTTCTGTTCACTGCTTTGTCACCATCCGTTTTTCAGTCTCCTTAGGGTCCTAGGATCCAGCCCCTGCTTTGGGGCTGGTGGCATCCTCCAGTCCGTGGTGAGACTGAGGCTCAGGGTGAGCCAGGGAGGGGGCTGTGGGGGTCGGGGACAGATCCCTGAGGGACAAGTGTCCATGGCTCAGAGGGCTGCTGAACTCTCAGACAAGCCCCGCAAGGGACTGGCCCACAGGAGCAGCCACACTCCCATACACCACCTTCCTCAGAACCTATTTTGGGGGAACCCCTTGGAGAATGCCCAGGCAGACCCCAGAGCTCCTGTCCTCCAGCCTCTCCAGGGCCCTGAGAGGGGCAGGGGCTTGCCTGCGGCCACTCAGCTCTCTAAGACCCCTGGCACAACAGTACCCAAAGACTCACCCCTCCATGCCACCTCGCACCACCAGCCTGGCCTCGAAGTGCAGCACAAGGAACAAGCCGGCGTCTGGATGCTGGCGGGAGCCCCCTTCCGCGCCTGCAGGCCTGGCGGTGGGGACAGAGCTGAATGGGAGGTATTGTGGGCAGCCCAGCCAGAGCTGAGGCGAAGGAGGGGCAGTCAGGGGCGGGAGCAGCGGCTGGAGTTACAGGGACTTCTGCCCAGCACAGCTCAGGATCTCAGCCCAGGCCTGATTGCCTCGTCTGGGCAGCCGAGTTCTGGGGCCAGCCTGGCAGGCAGGGGCCTTCAGGGCTGCGGGACTTATGGCTGTGGGACCCTAGGTGAGGCTGCACCTCTGTTTCCTACTCTGTGAAAAAGACATACTGTTAGTAACTAGCTCAGAGGGCTGCTGTGGGGGTTCAGGTAGGCACCTGGCATATAGTAGGTGCTCAAGAATGGTTAAGTCTGTCCTTTCTGTTTGTGCTTCTTATACATTTACTTACATTGTTTAATACTGTACATAGGACATTCTGCAATTTTTTTTTCTTCCGCTCAATATCAGATTCTTGGGAGCGATCCAAGTTGATTCTTAGTCACATTCATTTGTCCGTTGTATGGTATTCCATGGTATAAACGTCTCAACTTGGCCATTCATCTCTGTTGCCTCCAAGTTTTTGCTTTTACAAAGTTGCAAAAAAATATACAGATAGTTACCTCCTGGACACATGTGCATTTTAAAAAATGAAGTAGCTCATCCGGACCATAGCAAATATCTCTGTATCCTATTTTTCAGATCTGTGTTTCCGATGAAATTGCATCTTTCATGACTCCATTTGGCTTGTTTTTGTTTTTGTTTTTAACCAGAAATAGTGCCACACCACACACAACTTTCTTAGCAAATTCCTTATCAATGAATCACAGTGCGAACGTTTATATCTGGCTTTTTTCACTCAACGCTGGTGATCCATATTTTAAAAATCGGTTCACTTTCCGTTTTCTATAGCATCCCAGCATTCCATTCTGTAAATGTTCCATGACAGTGGCACAGGGGCGAGGCGGGAGAGCGATCCGCCCAGGTGTAAACAGCAAGGGGGAGCATCATCCGCAGGGAATTTAAATACAGTGGGACTGACTTAAAGTTGGTTTGCTTCTTATCGTCATGCACTGGAAATTCTAAACGATGTCAATACTGAACTATTCCTCCCGGCTTGGGTTGACCATTCCCACCTTTGCTTTGCTGGCACCTCACTATACCACGATTTATTTTTTTTAATTTTATTATTAGTTTCAAGTATACAGTACATTGGTTAGACATTTATGTAGTTTATAGAATGATCCCCCTGATTGCTCTCTCCCCGCTCTGGTTCCCCACCTAGCGATTCCTTAATGCTAACTGTACTCCCTATGCTATGCTCCCCATCCCCATGGCCATCTATCAATTACTAATTTGTACTTCTTTAACCCTTCACCCCATTCTCCCAGCCCCTCAAATCTCCTCCCCTCTGGCCGTCACTAAATTGTGAGTCTGTTTTTGATTAGTTTTTTTGTTCCTTAGATTCTGCATATAAGTAAAATCATATGGTATTTAACTTTCTCTGACTTATTTCACTCAGCATAATAACCTCTAGATCCAACCATGTCGTTGCAAATGGTAGGACTTAACTTTTTTAATGGCTGAGTAATAGTCCATTGTATATATGAACAATAACTTCTTTAACCAATTGTCTGTTGATGGGCATTCAGGCTGTTTCCATACCTTTGCTATTGTAAATTGTGCTGCCATGGACATAGGGGTGCATAGATCTTTACGAATTATTGTTTTGGTTTTCTCTGGATAAATACCCAGAAGTGCAACCACTGGGTCAAAAGGTAGATCCATTTTTAATTTTTTGAGAAACCTCCAGACTGTTTTCCATAGTGGCTGTACCAATTTACAATCCCACCAACAGTGTATGAGGGGTCCCTTTTCTCCACATCTTCGCCAACACTTGTTCTTTTATTGATGATAGACATTCCGACAGGTGCGAGATGTATCTCATTGTGGTTTTAATTTGCATTTCTCTGATGATTAGTGACCTTGAGCATCTTTTCATAAGTCTATTGGCCATCTGTATTTCCTCTTTGGAGAAATATCTGTTCAGGTCTTCTGCCCATTTTTTAATTGGATTGTTTTTTTTTTGTTGTTAAGTTGTAGGAGTTCTTTATATATTTTGGATATTAATCTCTTATCAGATGTATCATAAGCGAATATCTTTTCTTTTCTTTTTGTTTTGTTGATGGCTACCTTTGCTGTACAAAACCTTTTTAGTTTGATGTGGTCCCATTCATTTATTTTTTCTGTTTCCCTTTCCTGAGAAGATATATCCAAAAAGAAATTACTGTTAGCAATATCAGAGTTTACTGCCTACGTTTTCTTCTAGAAGTTTTATGGTTTCAGGTCTCACACTTAAGTCTTGAATCCATTTTGAGTTTATTCTTGTATACAATGTAAGAAGGTGGTCTAGTTTTTGTTTTGTTTTGCATGTATCTGTCCAATTTTCCCAGCACCATTTAGTGAAGAGACTTTATCCCACTGTATATTCTGGCCTCCTTTGCCATATATTGAGTGTGTAGGCGTGGATTTGTTTCTCTGCTCTCTATTCTGTTCCATGGATCGATGCATGTATTTATGCCAGTACCATGCTGTTTTGATTACTATAGCCTTATAGCATAGTTTGCTATCAGGCAGTGTGATATCTCCAAATTTGTTCTTCTTTCTCAAGATTGCCATGGCTATTCGGAGTCTTTTATGGTTCCATAAAAGATTATTTGCTCTAGCTCTCTGAAATGTACTGCAGTTCTTTATCCATTCTACTCTTGATGCACATTTCGGTTGTTTCCAGGATGAGGCTGATAGGAAGTGCTGCTGATCATTTTTTTTCTTTTTTCTTTTTTTTTTTTACGCCTACAGCACCTGGTCTTCCTAGGTGGTCTCCTATTCAAGTACTAATCAGGCCTGACCCTGCTTAGCTTCCGAGATCAGACGGGATCGGCTGCTGACCATGTTTGCACATCTTTTCGTAAACATAGCACACCCCGCTTCCGTCAGGATACAGCTAGGTAGGGATGGAATTGCTACTTTTAGAATATGCTTGTTTTGGCCTCAGTGGACACTGCCGACCAGTTTCCCAAAGTGATTATACCAATTTACACGTTCACCAGTGGTATAAGAGAGTCCCAGTTGCTCCACATCCTCACTGACGCTGGGTATCATCTCCTGTTTGGTAGCCTGTCTAGTGAGGATACAATGGCGTGACACTGTGATTTTAATACGTGTTTCCCTGAAGACTGATGAAATTAAGGACCTTCTCATATGCTTTTTGTGAAGTGCCCATGCTAGCCTTTTGCTAATTTTTCTATTGTCTTTTAGAAACTCTTTATATTCTGAATGTTATTTTAAAACCATCACCCCTATCCATTTCCAGAACCTTTTCATCATCCCAAACAGAAACTCTGTGCCCATTACACACTAAGTCCTCATTCCACCCCCACCCCCTGGCCCTGGCGACCTCTCTTCTACTTTTTGTCTCTATGAACTTGCCTATTCTAGGTACCTCACGTAAGTTGAATCACCTATTACTTGCCTTTTCACATCTGGCTTCTTTCACTTAGCACAACAGTTCAAGGTTCATCCATGTTGCATGTGTCAGAATGTCATTCCTTTTTATGGCCTAATAATATGCCATTGTATATACATAGCACATTTTTCTTGTTCATCTGTTGATGGACGCCTGGGCTGCTTCCACCGCTTGGCTACTGTTAACACTGCTGTGTGCATGGCTGTATGACATCGGAACCCTGCTTTTGCTTCTTTGGGGTACATACCCAGAAGTGGGGTTAGGGTCAGTTGAAGCCCCCGCCCCTGCCATTTTTCCCACCCATCTCATTCTCTCCCCTTCCTCTCTACCCAAAGGCAACCACTTTCATGAGGTAGCACAATTTTACTGTAATATATGGCAATACATTTTATGATGTATCAGTGTATATTGTTTTGCAATTTGCTTTTTTTCATTCAGGTTTTCCAGATTCATGCATGTGGATGCAGGTAGCCTTGGCATCTAGTTTATTAACTGCCACACAATCACTGCACGCACATGCTATGGTTTAACCATTCTCCTACCGACGACCATTTAGGTCCTTCCTCAATGTTCTAGTAACCCTTATCCAACTGCCCTTTACTTGTCTCCTTGTGCACAATGTGCAGGTTTCTCTAAAGTAGATCCTTAGAAATGGAATTTGGGGCCAAAGCTACATGCATTCCCGATGTTTTTAGTATCTGCCCAATTGCTAACGTGGTTTTATTAAGTGACATTCCTCCAGCAATGTATAAAATGTCTCTTTCCTGGTGTCACCTCAACAATATTTGCCAGTCTGTGTGGCGAATTTCACACTCCCTTGATTACCAGTGAGGTGGAATGTTTTTGGGGTTTGCTTTATGGGTTTCTTCTCCTATGAATTTCCCATTCATATCCTTTGCCCAATTTTGTTGGATGTCTGTCCTCTAGTCTTTGTTTTATGCTATTTGTTGCTTTCCCCCCATTTTGTTGTTGCTTTACATTCTTTGATATAGGCAGACTTCCTTATGGTTTATTATCAAAAATGCTCTCCTATGTTTTTACTTCCTTTTTAATATGGTTGTTAGGTGAATGGACTTGGATCGCTTTGAAAGCTGGTCCACCCCATCCTGTCCCCTGCCTTCCCTGGACTAACTCCTATCGTCAATGCTGGGTTTAGCTCTTCTACTGACAGCATCACCATGGACTCACGTGTCTACATGCATTTCTTTGCTAACAGCATCACCAAGACTCTACTCACTGCCACGGGCCCATCCGCGCTGTGCGTGGCACACGCATAACCACAGCTATTTCCACCGTTGTCACCATTCCACTTGTGGCTTGGCTCTTGCTCTGTCTCTCCAAAACTGGCCTGTGAGTCCTTTCCAGGTTCTTGTTAACAGATGAACTGCTAGTAGTGCCCTCGCCCAGGCTGCCTGGGGCTTTTCTAGTCCAAGCTTCAGAATGGGATTGCTGGTTTACACCCAAGCCGGCAGTTGTTTAGTTGGAACAGCCTGGTCAGCACCAGGCCCTTCACATGTGGGGCCCCAGGCAGAGGCATTTCCGATCTCAGTCCCCAAATTGTGGTGCTTAGGGACCTGGAACCAATGCTATCTTAGGGTTGGCTGTAGTTCTAGGAAGCATTTGAGTCTGGGGGGAAATTCCAAAAGCTGTAACTTTCTCAGTTAAGCAGCAAGTTAGAGGGCCCAGGCCCTTCCCTGCACCTGGAGCTGGTCAGGGCCCCCCGACCGCTGAGGTATTGGGGGCTGGGGCAGTCAGGGCCTGCACTGCTGGGAACAATCAGACCTTCCTCATCGTGCAGGTTTGAGGAGCCAGGCACCGCGAGCCTGTCATGAGGTTCAATGAGATCTGCGGTTCCCTTCTCAGCCTGAGCTGGAGCTTGTACCTGCATCACTTAGGTGGGAACAAGGGCCAGCCCAGGGTGGCCTGGAGGGAAAGGAGCCAGGCCAGAGGACCTTAGACAGGCCCCTGCACAGCCCCGAGTCACAGTTCCTCCATCTGTCAGACGTCGCTCATGAGTCCTATTGGAACCTCAAGACCCAGTCCTTGCAGCTCTAGCTCGTGGTCTTCCCTGACCTCACTGACCACCGTCCCCACAGTGACTCATGGTTATTGGTCTCCTGCACCAGACCGGGAGCTCCCCAAAGTCAGCGCCTGCGGCCCTGGAGCTCACAACAGGGCCCGGATGGAGGTAGGGTTGGAGTTGGCCGGACCTCCAGTTGCATCCTGCCATATCACCCGGTATGAGGAGGAGCAGGGAAAGGCATCTCTGCCACCTGGCCAAGAAGCCATTTGAGTAATCCATAGCCAACAAGGAAATGCTGTGCCCAAAAAACCCTCGGAGAGACCTCTCCATCTCTCCAAGCTGGGTTCTCTCAGTGGATGGTCTGAGCCCGTGGAGACGACCTTGCGCAGAGGTCTTCGCTTCTGCAGACACCGCTCCCCAGGTGCACCTGCTGTCTAGGGTAAGTGGTAATGAGGGTCTGCTGGGCTGTCCTCCCACCATGTGGCCACGAGAGGAAAGAATCTGAGGGAGGTGCCCTCCACTCCAGGCCAACCCTTTGAAGTGACCTGGCTAGCCAGATCCAGGGGCTCCTGATTGTGTAGCCAGCAGGGCCTGTGGCAAGATGTGGACAGTGTTTAGTTCAGGTAGGTCCATAAATGGAGCAATCCAGGGACCAGCAGAGCTGTGGCCCAGACTGGGTAAAGGTGAGGTGGGCTGGGAAGGGGCAACAGGCCCAACTCAGGACATTACTGACGGGAGAGGGGATCCATCCACGCTCCCCTGCCCCGGGTCACTGCCCTGCCCTGGGCATCACCCGCCCAGCTGTCAGGGGAGCCAGCATGTCCAGAGCAGAAGAGGCATCTGGGCCTGGGTGGGAGAGGCCTGCCCTGGGCGATGACAAGGTTGGCATGGGGATTCCTTGGCCAGACAGACTGCCCTCACAGACTGAGCCAGGGCTACTGTGCCCGTGCTGAGGTGGGACCCCAGGCACTGAGGTCCTGAGACTGGCTCACTCATAGTGTCCACTGTTGCCACACACGACTTTATTTGTGGAGCCTCAGGCGCAGCCCGAACACAAACAGCACGAAAGGAAAAGCACAGGGTTCTCAGGGCTGCCAAGAGACAGTCCAGGGCATCTCTAGCCCTGTCCCTACCCTGCCCCAGGTCCTTCAAGAGCCCCGGTATGCAGTCAGGCAGCAGTGGGCCCTGCCCCGGCCCTGCCCCTGCCCCGCCCCTGGCAGAGAACAGGTTAGGGCCTGTTAAGGTGCCCCCTCCAGCTCGGCCCCCAGGCCAGCTGCAGACATCCTCTTAGCATCCGGGGAGGGACCCCTGGGTCCAGAGCCAGCACCATCCAAGCAACTCCTGTTACAGGGCCCTCTGGTGCCTGCCCACTGGCTTCTGTCCTATCCATACGGCATGGGCACCGCGGTCTTGCCCTCTGCTGACCACCCCATGGCCCCACCACGGTTGTCTCTGCCTCTCACGCCAAGGGCTCAGCACCACACGGATGGATGGTGGGGACTGGTGGCTGTGGGATCAGGGCTTGGTGAAAGGAAGCAGAGGTAGCCACCAAGTGGCCCCAGGCAGGGTGGGAAACACAGCCTGGACACAACACAGAGGGAGGGAACAGCTCACAGACAGGAACTCTCCAGGCTTTGGTACAGCCCAGGAGAGTAAGGAAGGCAAAGTGGGTGGGACAGCCACCAGGACCTCAACCTGAGGCACAGATCAGCGCAGCGCCCTCAGATGGTGGTGAGTTTAATGGCAGAGCAGCTGGCAACTTGCAGCCCTTTGGCCTGGGGCAAGCTCCACTCCAGGGGACCAGGGCCAGCCCAGCAGGGAGATGTTAAAAACCCCACCCCCAACAGGAAGCACACACTGGCACGTGCACCACACCGACACACACGCTTGGGGGACTGACACGACACATGCGACAAAGACCCTCTCTGCCTCTGGCCAGTCCTTCATCTGAGTCCATTCCCAAGTCACTGGTCCGGGCTGAGAGTCGAGGAGAGGATGCTTTGCATCTAGCCCTAGACCTTGTACAGCGTCTGCAGCAGACTGTGGCGGGCGAAGGAGCAGGACTCCAGGGCGCCGTTGGGCCTGCGGGAAAAGAAGGGTCAGTGGGTGGGGCGGCCCCTGGGGCCTGGGGA